GATTAGTGATGAAGAAGAGGGCAGTCAAGAAAAACGCGAAGTAAAGGCAGTGGGCTACTTTCTAAAACCTTTGAAGAAGGAATGGAAAAATCGTACACGGGTTCTCGTATTTTGTTCCCGAGGAACGAGCTATCGCGACCGCCATCTCATGAACGATTTGAGATTCATGATGCCACACTCCAAGAGCGATTCCAAGTTTAATAAAAAGCAGAATATTTCGGCCATTAAAGAGATTTGTGAACTGAAAAATTGTGACAAATGCATCTACTTTGAGTGCCGGAAAAAGAAGGACTTGTATATGTGGCTGTCGTCTCTTCCTGAGTAAGTTTGTATCTACTTCGAATATCATTTATTAATATTCTTGGAACATGATAAACGGTGTATCGGTATATTGTACGTAGAACGATGTTTTACAAAGCTGAGTCATAGTTTTAATTTTCATTATCTGTTATGCCTTAGGATTTGCGGATGCATAAGTTTCGGAGGAATTTTATTGGCGATCGCGGCCCTTTGGTAAACGGACCGGCTTGAAAAGTTTAATTTGAAGTTGTGTTGATGTCAGGTGTTCGATATGCCTTAGAGACCGGTTTGTCCCTTGTCCATCTGTCACCGTATTCTTACTGTGTATGGGTGTTTCTCCGTTTCGATAACGTTAATTCGCGTTTCATTTGGTATCGAAACTATTGAAAGTGTTCTGAAGAAGCGTCGTCGGTGACTTGAAAAGAATAACCGATCATGAAACCGAATTACAAAATTGTTCGTGTTCTGTTATGCTTATCAAGTATATCTCATGAAACTTGCCATTATCCACCCTACCTACTACTTGACTTTAGATGTCTTTTTTCGTGAGCATCTCATCTACCAGTTATCTAAACTATCGCGAGTGACAGCAGTAAATAAGCTAGGGTACCACAGAATGCTATGCTCGTAATTGTCAATTCTTTGAAAGAACCTTATGTTGGTAAATGCATTGATAACATGTCTTCGTCTACAGTATGTACTCTAAAGATTTGAACCAGCTATGTTTTACAGTTGGTTGCTAACAGCATTCAGTTGTTTGTGAATGCAAGAAAGAACCATTCGATTGTTTGTTCTGTCATGCTATTTCTAATTTTTAATCATCGTTATGAACGCAGAAATCACGATGTTGTATGAATCTCATGTGCTCTTGAACATATGGAAGCAGCCATTCCTTTATATTTTATTAATTATTTTGTTATGCATTGTATAAAAAGTAAACAGTCTTGAATTTAATTTTGATATATTTCATGCTGTGTGATGTTTATATACTATATTTTTATTTTAGTGGTCCTTCCGTTAAGTTCCTTGTTCATAACGTGCACACGATGTTGGAGCTGAAGCTTTCCGGCAATTGCTTGAAGGGATCAAGGCCTTTGTTGTCGTTTGATAAAAGCTTTGACGAACTGCCGTACCTTTCCTTGATAAAGGAGCTGTTGATCCAAATCTTCTCCACGCCAAATTGCCATCCTCGAAGTCAACCTTTCATTGACCACACGTTCTGCTTTTCATTTCATGACGGCGTCATTTGGTTCAGGAACTATCAGATTGTGAACGAAGACGATGGAACTCTCGAGGAAATAGGTATTTTTGATGTTGAATCGTTTTAGGAACTTACTTAGCTTTCTCTTTGACTTTGTTTTAAATGTGACGACGTTATGCAGTAAGTGTTCACTGGCTTTCTGTTCACTGGGTTACATATTGCATGCACACAGTTAGTGGTATTTTCGTTGATGCTGTCCACTTCCTTTAGGCCTTATAACTACTGTTGGCAACATGACAGGGTTTATCCAATCATTGTTAGCCTTCAATAAATTCCGATAATAAAACAGACCAGCAAACGACATATAAAATTTTCAAAAACTTTCTTAAAGCTTATAGAAATTCGATTCGGTACGTGGACTGCATTAACAGGCTAATACGGATATTGATGAATAGTCAAAACGATTTAAAGCCTGGGAAAAGGCTTCAGTGAAAGTTACGGAAGTTACCCAGGCTGAAACCATGGTCTATTTTCATGTTATGGACTGCTGGAAAAGGAACATTCATTTTGGAAGTAGCAAGAGGTAATAGGAAGATCAGTGTGAGTGTAAGTGCACAAATATGTCTGCTGTCTGATCGCA